GTTTCATTCCTGCCCATGATTAGTATTTCCTTTAAGGCACCATGGATAGAAGCTTAGTTGCTTCTTTCACTTCCACTGGACAGGAAAAATGACGAACTCTATTTTTTTCCCTAAAAAGAAATATTAAATACGTATAACTTGTGCTAGATAACGTGTCAGCAATTTTTAGAAGCATAAAATAATTTTTTTTTGCCATGTAAGATAATTATGTGATGACTAAAAATAAATTATATATGATAAGGATTGAATTATTAAATTTGAAAAGATTAGAGACTGAGTTATAAGTAAGTCAAAAGTTTAAAAACTGGGTTATATCGAGTAATAGTTGAGGGATTTGGTTGTAAGTGAGTTAAAACTTGAAGGATCAAAAGATTAATTTTTTCTAAAATTTTTATTAATTAATCAAACGTCTTTAACTAATAAGTTTTGGAATAAATACATGCAACAAACTCTAGCACATTAAAGGAACAAACTCATTAGATAAAAATGCCAAATTAGATTACATAAATTGCATGTCGTCCAAGGTGTGATATTACGGAATTCTTTAAAGTATCTCTTTAAACATAACTATTTTTTGTATAGAAATCTCCTTAAAATGTATAGTCAATATAAATTTTTTTAAAAATAAATTATAAATTTAAAAGACAAAATAAATTAAGATCTTGTATTTATAACCAAACACAATTACTAATTAATTTTTATATTAAGGACAACAGACAGTGTCAAGGGTAAAAGGCCAAAAATATCATTGAGTTCCAAGTAATATGAATTGAAGAAGACCTGGTTAATGAAAATATAAGCCTTACTTAAGATTTTTTGAAAAAGTTACTTAGTTAATATTCCTCCGGTCCTTAATATAAAGATCCATTTAACTAATTTGATTAGATTAAGAAAGTTAGATAAGTCAGTTAATTATAAGAAAAGTGACACATTTTTCTTAAAATACTATAATCATCTTTCTTAATACCCCATCTCCCTCTTCTACTTGATTATGATTGAGGGAGTATCCATAAGGATAATTTAGAGAAAATTGATAAATATGATAAATGAGTCTTATATTTAGAACTAAAACCAATTTAAGAATTTGGTCTTATATTAAGTATCGGATGAGTATGAAGCTTAAAACACCCTTTCCTGAAACATGCTTGAATTTAATCGTTTCTTTTATGTTGTTGGACAAAAACTACACAAATCTTTAGGTAACTTTGTGTGGCCCAACCATTCTGCAGTGTACTGGCCCGTACCCTTGTTTCCCTTCCACATTTTGTCTCAACCCAAATAATTATCTTGCTTTGTAACTAAGAAATAAAATTAAGTACCTCTGATATTAAATATAAGAATTAATTAATGATTTTATTTTAATTTTAAATATATCTTATTTCTCAAATTTATAATTTTTTTAAATTATTCATATACAAAATTATGAGTGAAATTAGTTTCATGCCATACATCGATTCAAACAAACTCTTCTCTTATAAGTAATTTCCCTCACAATCTTCATTTTTCTTTCAGTGAATGATAGTTGTCAATTAATTCAAAAGTTCCTTCATCATTGTCCTGCCTACTACTTTGATTTATATATCAACTCATAAATCAATTGGTAACTTTATTATTTCAACCATTTAAAAATGCAGGTCAAATTAGACACCTTATTAGATTTATTGAATTCGGATTAGTGCTTTCTCATGGTCTCCCTAATCTGTAATCTTAAGTGATTTCTGAAAATGACTTTACAGTCCTAGCATTCTCTAAAAATTGCCCAAACGACATGCTTCGTTTTTCTTAAATGTCATATTTTGGTATGTATTTAATAATATAACTAAATTAATTAAACACATATTTTCATGCTTCAAAACATTAACTTATTTTGATTTTGGTCTCTCAAATTTCAAACTATAAGTTTTGATCTCTGAAAGGACAAAATAACCTAAGTCTTTATTAAATTACAGGGACCAATTTCTTAGATAAAAAGAAACTTGAAGAACTATAGTTTGAAATTTGAGAGATTAAAACTAAAATAAAAACAAAATTAAAGAATAAAAAATTGTATTAACTTTTTTTAAAAAAAATACAAAGCACCCTGTTAATCTTGAAAAATAATTTTATATTGAGCTAAACATGATAAAATGTTATCAAAGTGCCAGTTGAATTACTTTTAGAATAACCTTTTTTGGGGGGCAAAATTCATCTTTGATAAACTATTTAAATTAAATTTTTTAAACAATCATTTGCATCTATTCTCTTAGGTTCTTTGTATCATTAAAATAGTGAAAACAAAACAACAAGAAGAAGAAGTTATTACTCCTTTTTTAAGATTATCCTCCAATTAAAACCCATTTATCTTAATTAACTTTAATTTCTTTCTTATATAATTTCCATCTGCAATACAATTAATTAGAACGTTTGTGAGAGAGAAGAATATAATGCTATTGAATTTTTACATAGTATATTATACGGTATTTTATATCATAAAAATTTTCCAAAAAACGTCATACATTAAGGATTAAAGGAAGTTATACACACATACACACACGCATATTTTGTTTAAGCAGAAGATTTTTTGGCGTCCTTAATTGTTAAGCTTTGGATGCCTTGCATGAGGGAGCTAAACGTTATTAAGTAAAAGCCAAATCATGCTTAGTTAAAAGAATAGAGAGAGCAAAAGTGCAGAGTACAAACTGGGATAAAGATCTCTATTTGATTTAAAGGGTGTTCGGATATAAACCAAACTATGGTTTCAGAAGTGCTTTTACGGATTACGAAGTAAATATGTAGAGGAAGTTACCTCGTTTTACGGAAAAATGATTCTGAAACCGTGGTTTTGGTTTTGCCAAACACCCCCTTAGTCTTTTTAGAGTCAATGTTTTGAAATTTCAAATGGCAAATCAAATTGGTACGTTGTCGTTGTACGAATATTAAATGAAATGAATATTTTTGTTGAAGGTTTCTGTTCATAATTAATGTACACTTTATTGTCATTGAAAGCAGACTATAGGGTTTAAATTAATGTTTGGATGTGGGGTTAAGATGGGGCTTATGTAATTATGTTAATCATATGGGTTCTATTCAAGGTTTTTTAAAGGGATAATTAATCTCCAGATCCTTATAGTTTCATCTGATTTTTAATTAGGTCCTTATAAAATTTTTTCTTTTTATTAGATCTTTTTACTTTCGTGTATTTTTAATTAGGTCCTTTTATTTTTTTTTATCAGGTTCTTATAGTTTCACTTATTTTTTAATTAGGTGTTTTGTAGTTTTTGAAAAATTATTTATTAACTTTATTCTTTAAAATTAATTTCATTTTTAAATTAATAATTATATAATTGGACAAAATAATTAATATAATCATTTAGTAATTAATAAATAATCAGAATAATAATTATACTTAAATATAAATTATTTATAATCATATTTTAATTTTAGAAAAATTTATTATTATAATTTGAATTTTATAATTATAAAAATTCGAATTGAAAATAAATAATGTATTTGTTTAACTAAAAATTTAAAAGAATACTAACATAAGATTGTTACAATAATTTATATATTTTTTAAATGTTATTATTTGTAAAATAAAGAATAAAAACTACAAGGACCTAATTAAAAACAAAATAAAACAATAAGGACCTGATAAAAAGAAAAAAAATTATAAGGACTTGATTAAAAATATATGAAAGTATAAGGACCTGATAAAAAGAAAAAAATTATATGGATCTGATTAAAAACCAGTTAAAACTATAAGGACTTATATATTAATTATCCCTTTTTTTTTAATTATTTAAACTTTTATGAAAGAACAATACGATATGGGCTGACCTTTATAATCCACTAATCCAAATGATTTGGGTTACCTTGGTCCATTTTCCCCAACTGATATGTTTTGGGCTGACCCATATGATCAAAGCTCATTATAGTAATAGGATTTCTTACATAATTATTACTATCTCCAATTCTTAATATAAGAGTCAGTTGAGTAAAGTTGTATTTATGGACTGGTGGCAGTATATGCTGATGATAACGGTGAATTTTCATTTAGAAAAAATTGATGAGGAAATTTTAATGTATTTCATATTTATAGTGGATTTGCAAAACTAGTGAATTTTACTAAATATAATTTTAAAATTTGGTTCATGTAAATTTTGGTCTCTTAAATTTGTCATTATTTTGATTTTAATCCTTCAAATTTTAAATCATAGGTGTTGGTCCCTTAAACTTCCTTTTATTGATAATATTAATCCCTATAATCTAATAAAAATTTGGACCATTTTGCCTTTTGAGGGACCAAAATTTATAGTTTGAAATTTGAAGACCAAAACGAAAATAAAGACAAATTTAAAAGATTAAAAATTATATCAACCCTTTAAAATTTTACAATAAATAATTGATTTCAACTAATTATTAATTATTAGTTGCTTATGATAAAGATTGGAGGGAGTGTTTTCTTTTTATTTTTAAAATACATGTGTCTGTATTTAGTTAAATTGTATTTTAGTTTTGTATTATGAAGTTTTTCAAATGAGTCATTCATCACACACGCACACCAAGTAAGTTAAGTGAGATGACTATATCACATCTTTTTATCAAAACCACAAATTTTAAAATAAATGTGCCCACAATTCTTAAATAGAATTATTGTATTAAGCGTAAGCTAACAAGAAAAAGGACATCATAAAGCCATGGTCTTACAAGAATAAATCAAGATTTACGAGAATCACATGAAAATTCCATCATAGATCCATACTTGTCCCTAAAGTTGAACAACGCATATACCAATGATCCATAGATCGGTGAAGTTTTTTTTTTTTTCTTTTTTTTCCCTTTCCTTCAGCTTTATGAGGAAAAATATATTATTATAATTCTATATATATTTTTTGCATTTCTTTTTTATGTATGAAATGAAACAAAAGTACATAACTTTAGCAAGGGAGGAAGGAAAATAGAATCTTTCAGGCTGGCTTTTGCTCTCCTCTTTTCCTTTAATTTGCATTCATTCAAACAAGTGCCCTTTGAATTGAATTCTTAAATTGTGGATGCTAAAAAGTATAAAACATAACTTAAATAAAAGGAAAAAATGGAAAGAAAAAAAAAAGCTCAGTCGATGATACAAAATTAGAGAGGCAAAAAAGCAAAGCAGAAAAAGAAGTAAAGCGAACCAGGAGACGTGCGAAGCTGCTGAGTTTGACACAACTTTTTTTTTTTCTTTCCGTTATTATTTATTTACTTGCCTGCATCAAAAAAAGATAAAGGGGAAATAAGTACTCCTCTTCTTCTAAATACAAAAGAGGTCTTATATTTAGGACCGGAAGAATATTATATAAAAAGGTAGTGTGATGAATCATACTATCTTTGATTCTAGTTATAATACCTTATTTGTATTTTACAAACAAGATTTTATAACTAGGACCAGAGATAATATTGAAGAAAATAATTAAAATTAATAGTAGAAGAATATTACCATGTCCTCTTGTGCAAATGCTCTTTAAGAAAGCAAGGAAAATAACAAGGACAGCTAATCCTGCTAATAATCCAATTATAATCACAAATGTCTTTTCTCCTCCATTCTTTGATTTACCTGCAACTAATTCATAAATTAACCTATATAATGACTTCCATTAACTTTATCACAACTAATTACAAATATAAGCAGAATATTCAGGATTCCTATGGATACTGAATATGCTTGTGCTTCGTATAATGAAATTTTAATATGTTCATTACTACTCATGTTCTAATATATAATAATAGATAGCATAAAAATATCTTAATAATAAAAATAAATAGTATAAAAAATACTTTATTCTATTTAAATGTAACAATCCCACATTTATCTTACTTTGCTTACAAAATAATGCATTTAATTACATTACACATTCTTTTAAAATCAGACACTTATTTTAATGTAAAATTCATAAAATAATTTTTCAAAATTTACAAATTCTTCTAAATTCAAATTTTGTGTACACTTTAAAACATAAAAAGAATGCATGTGATTTTAATAAAACTAAAGAGATATATTCATGATTTACTGTTTATTTTGAAAAATATCTACATAAAATTTAAAAAAGATAAAATGATGGGATAATATTATTATATTTAACAATATTGTTTGAAGTTTTTGACAATAAAAAGAATCATAAATTGGGATATTTAATGAAAGTTTACTTTAATTTAAAAATTAAAAATAAGGCAGCTATGGGCCTTACCGTGGGCCTTGGGTTCATAGGCGTGGGCCCCACCAACTGAGTATCTCGCATAACATTTCCCCAAGAACATGTCCCCGTAATTGGCACTTCCACAGTCGCTTTTGAGCCGTCGGATTGCCTCCGACAGACAGTCCCGGCACTGATCGAACGCAAGATCGCCGCTGCACTGAGCCACGCCCTGCACATTACCCGACCCAACCACCCTGAAATATCCAGCCGAACCCGACAACCCAGCCAGCACCGCCTCCGTGCTTCCCATATCGTTGCTGCTGCTAGTGCTACTACTTCCTGTGGAAGGTCCGCATTTCTTGAAAACGACGGTCTTGTCCTCGACGCCGACGAAGGTGGCGTTATCATACCTGACGAAGCAGCCGTCGAGCTGGACGGCGGCTCCACAGGTGGAGGGGCAAAGGGCGGAGAGACGGGAGAGGGAGTGGGAGACGCAGGAAGAGCAGTCGGGCATGGAGAGGTCGCCACGGCACTGGTACAGGCCATAGACGGCGGAGGAGCCGAGGACGGTGAAGTTGGAGTAAGAAGAGTAGGTGGCGGAGCTGAGGAGGGAGGTGAGTAAGGCCTGGAGGTTGGAGGAATAAGGAGAGTCCGAGGAGTACTTCTGTTGGGTGCAGCCGGCGAAGATGAAGGAGTCTACGGAGGTCGAGTGAGAGTGGGAGGAAGTGTAAGAGACGGCGGTGGCGAGGAGGAGAAATATGAGTAGTGAGGGAGAAGGCATGGTTTTCGCCATGTTTACAGAGAGAGGGGGAGAGAGAGAGAGAGTACAGTGATGAAGATGGTGATGAGGTGGTGGAGAAGCTGTAATTTGAAGTAGAGGAGGAGATAGTAGCTGAGTGATTTATATTTGAAATTCAGAAGGAAACACTTGCGATAGCTAGCTAAGATAGTTGCTTTAAATTATTGGAAAAATTATTATGCATGGCTTTTTCTTATATACAGGAAAAAGCTTTCATATGCATTTTCTTTATTTTAAGATACGTCCATGTTCTTGCATTTCAAGAGATATCTAGCTAGACGGAAAGAAATTTGAATTCAGGGGGGTCATTTTAGGGAAACATGCATATATATATATATATATACACTCTTCCGGTCCTTAATATAAGACCTATTTAACTAACTTGATTAGATTAGGAAAGTTAAAAAAGTTAGTAAGTTATAAAAAATGTGACATGTTTTTTGTAAAATACCATAATCATCTTTCTTAATACTCTCTCTTCTTCTTTTATTTGGTTATAGTTGAGGGAGTATCTAATTTAGAGAAAATTGATAAATATGAGAAATAGATTTTATATTTATGACCAAAACTAACTCAACAAGTAGATCCTATATTAAGAATTGGAGGAGTATATAGCATGTTTTACATAATATGCAAATGTAGTAGCTAGTCATCCAGAAATAATAACGAGACGTCTTTATTGACTCGTCACTTTTTTTTTGGCAGGAAACCAGTCACTTGATTTAAGTAATTAAGCATAAATATATAATGTCTAGATAAATTTTATGACTTTAACATTTCTCAATTATTTTTTATAAACATATTTAACATATATCTTATAAACATATATACACATATTAATTATTTATTAATTACATTATCTTATGTATTATTAATTATGTTGGTAAAAAATATATTATTAACAATTTTATTCTTTCAAATTAAAATATATCATAAAATTTATCTTTTATATAATTATCATATTAACTTATGTTTTTTTTAGTAATTTGTATATATAAAAAGTACTTCTGATAACCACTATCCAAACACTCTCACTTCTTAGAATCACTTTTTTACAAAATCTATTCTTCATAGAATCTATTCTTCCCAGAATCTATTCTCCAAAAGCTATTCTCCAAATCATGATTTGATTTCATCCAAACACACCCTTACTTGATTATAGTTGAGGGAGTATCTATAGGGGTAATTTAGAGAAAATTGATAAATATGAGAAATGGATTTTATATTTAGGATTAAAACCAACTCAACAAGTAGATCTATATTAAAAATCGGAGGAGTATATAGAATGTTTTACGTAATATGCAAATGTAGTAGCTAGTCATCCAGAAATAATAACGAGACGTCTTTATTGACTCATCACTTTTTTTTTTTGGCAGGAAACCAGTCACTTGATTTAAGTAATTAAGCATAAATATATAATGTCTAGTTTAATTTATGATGTTGGCTGCCTCTATCGAATAAATTAAACTTGCATTGGAGTTTTCTTTTATAAATGGTGCACTTTCCAGATGATAGTAGTATACATAGAATATTAAAATAGAATATTATTGGGATCAAATATATATAGTATAGAGAGAATCCACGTGGGATAAGCTTTATATAGGCAATATAAGGATTAAGGAGTGTGGTGTTGTGAGAATGGATGATCATACATAGCTTTATATGCAGATCAGAAGAAGACAGAAAATAACAAGTGTGGCATCGCACTATTAGTCGGGCGGTGTGAACATGCATGTGACTCTGAAAAAAGAAAAAAAAAGGAAGAAGATGTGAAGTTAGGAGAGACACACAATATTTCATGTGAATCCAGTGATATATGCAAACACAAATTTGACAAAATTAATGTTTCCTATGTTATTTACTTGTGCTTTTTTTCATGAGAAGATCAAAGTGGAAATTAAATCATATCAATCACACTTCCCATATATTTTTAATCTTAACTATCTTTTGATAGAGGTATTATTATTATTGAAAACACGCAATAATTATATATTGAAATCTGGAATATGACTTATATTTAACAAAAAAAAAAGAAAATAAAAATTCAAATCAAGAGAAATAAATAAGGATGAAAAAGGTTCTACCTGTACAATGGCGACAGGGAAGAAGGAGAAAAGCTCAGAACGAGCAAGCGGAACCATGTACTGGATAAAGAAAAAGAAGCATCAGCAAGAGAGAAGGGAAGGCCCAGCCCACACTTCCCTCAAATGGGCTCTTTGGGCCACATCCCAAAAATGAACGTCAACCCTACTGATTCAGCTGCAAAAACTGTTAATTGATTTTATTTGGGTTAATATAATCTTAGTTTTATAAGTTTACCTTCATTTTGGTTTTCATCTTTTAAGGGTAAAATAATTCAAGCTTTTATTGAATTATATGGACTAATGTTTTAAATGAAAAAAAAAAACTTGAAAGACCAAAACCAAAATAAAAATAAACTTAAAAGATCAAAGTTTGTATTAATTTTTTTTATTTTTACAGTTCAACAATGCCTCCAATAGGAGCCATTTTATGTCTATAATATTTATTCCATATATATATATATATATATTCAATCTCATGTGTATATGTAGCCGGGGGGGCTTTTAGCAAAAAAGTAAAATATATTATATTTAACTGTCCTTGTTTTTAATTGCGATATTTTTATATATAACTATGTTTTATATTTTATCCCGCGTCTCGAAAGGGCTTGAAAATGTAATTTTACCAAACAACGACTGTTGGAGAGAGATAAAAACTCATATCAAATCAAATAAAGATGAGCGTTACCACAAAAAAAAAAAAAAGCGAATCAAATAAAGATGAGAAGGGGGGGTGATGTAAGACAAGGTGGAAATGTTAAGAAACAAATCATTGGATGATGGAGTCGTAAGAAATATGTTTTAGTTTGTATCCATAAAAAAACAAAGGAGAAAAAGAAAGAATAGTTGGCCAACAAACCATACTGAAGTAAAATAAATAAGTAAATAAATGTAATTTATGTTTCCGTTTGGTATAAAGCATTAAAAATAAGAGATAAAGATTGAGATTGAAAATACAAAACTATATTAAAAGAGTATTTAGCATGAGTAATTACATGATATTTGGGATTAGACAAACTTATATATATGAGATTGGGAAATATTATGAGGAGAGGTAGTATTCTTCAATAATATCTATATAGGATTGTTTAATTCCATGTGATAAGAAATCACCTATGCTAAATATCCTTTTAACATATGTTTTCAATCCCAATCCTAATTCTTATATCTCATTTTTATTACTTTGTAGCAAACGTAACATATAGAGCTTAAAAATAAATTAATTTTTCATATATTGTAATCGGTATGATTTCTCTGGCCAAAAAAAAAACATTATGATTTATAAGAGATATTTTTAAAAAAGGAGGATTCCGCCGCCGTCTGTCTTCAAGATTATGCGGGGAAGTTTGAAACTTTTAAGGGTCCATTCATTTTCAATTCATTTTAAAAATTGAAGAAGTGGGATTAAAATTTTTTAATAAATTTTTCTCATTCTTTTATTTTATATTTTCTTTTTATCAAAATTTTATAACTCCACTTCTTTAATTTTTTTAAAACAAACTCATTAAAAAATTTTGTCCCTTCTCTTTTCCTTCATTTCCCTTATACCAAACAGATCCTAAATGGCTTCTGGGAATGATGATTTTTTGTTTTTTAAAAAAATTCGTCTCTTGCATTGTTGTGACTTTTGTATGTTGGACTAATTTGAATAACTCTTTTAATATAATTTCTTTATTCGTGACATATATATTTAATGATAACACAATTGCTTTTTTTCAAATAAAAATATAAATAGTTATTTATGATTTTTTCCCCCCAAAAGAAGGGGGAAAAAATAGAGACAGTAAATTTATCGCACTTATTGGGCAGGTTTACCTAAAATTAGCTACAGCTCCAAAGTAATTTGAGAATACCAATAAAAAAAAGAGACAGTAAATATATACAACTAATGTTGAATTTTTATATTCATAATTAAAAAGATATAATTATTTTACGAAAACAAAAACTTGATTTCATGAATACTACCTAAATAGTAACATGATTAAAGTAAAAATAACGGACCTTCGACCCTAAATTTTATAGATATTTTCAAATATTGTCTTTTTTTTTTAAGACTGAAAGAACAGCATATTTATAACGGTTTTGTTTGCCTCACAGCAAACTTGTTGCTGTACTTGCTTGTTCGATTTGAGGCCCCAGCATAAAGAATCTGTTCATTGGTGGATTCTAGAAACTCAATCAATTAACATGATCAGAAGGTCTTGGAATTAACTGGATATTAGTATTACCCCGCCAACGCTTTTCCAGTGAAAGAAATCCAAGTGGGGTTCAAAATCATGCGGAAAATCGCAGCAACGGCATCTCTTTTCTTCCTTTAAATTATGACCATCTGCATTCTGTTTGAGATATGACTATATGAGGGTCAACAGATTACAGATGGAATCCCCACAAATTAACACAAGATTTTTGCAGGAATCAGATTCCAATCAACCCAAATCAGAGAGAGAAAAGAAGACTCAAAACACTAATCTGATCTGATCTAGAAAATTATTTACTACTATATCTTTCTATCATCTTGCAGTACAATTGCAGAATTAAATCCTGGGTTTTCATCCTCCTCCTCCTCCTACTCTTCCTGATCATCGCGGTTGATAAGATCCGAGAGAAAAGACAAAATATAGAACCTCTCTAATCTCTCTACTAAATTCTCATCATCTATTTACAAATCATCAGAGTTTCCATCTCCAATCCTCCATTGTTCTTCAAAGAACCTTCTTGTTTCTCTAGTCCAAGCTTCTTATTAGCCCTCAGTCGATTCACCAGTCTGTCCAATGCTTCCTTCATCCACCAGTGCTGACACACTTCTCTTGCTTCGTCAACACTCATCTACGCACAATCAAATCAATCTGAGAATGAGCCTAACTATATTTCAGATTGGTCACATGGTCCAGTACCAAACCATCTGTGGTGAAATTTTTAGGAATTCAATAGGTGATTGATCACTTACCCAGATTCTTTGACGGAAGTTCTGCTCAGGCCAGAGTTCAAGCTGTTCTTGAACAAGGAGAGGGAACATGTAGCCTTCATAGAAGGTGTCATGGGTTTTGCTCTTGAAGCTCCACTTACCCAGTTTACCCTGAAACCAAACACAATATACAGAATCAGATTAACAGGTTTATGAATCATGAAGGAGAAAGTGAAGGGCTTGTTTGGCTGTTTGCTTACCCCAACAATGCCCCGAACTCCTGCTTCTTCAATGGTTTCTCTCACAGCGGCCTCCTTTTGGGATTCGTCTAATTCCCAGCCTCCCTGGTTTTGGTCAACAAGGTTATTAATAATGTAAATCACAGTTAATTATTTACTAACATGCATATTTGTAGGAAGGTGGGTGGGTGGAAAATACCTTTGGAAATAGCATCCCTTTGCCTTTCTGTGAACTGATTACCAGAACTTCTAGTTCTCCTGACGCCTCCATGGAACCTTGCTCCTCCATCTTGTATCTGTACGGTATACACCTGCACATAATTTCGACCGTAAAAATCAATCAAATGGTTCGTTTTTCCTCAAAAACCCCTTCACCACAGAAGCAAATCCGCACACTTATGCCCCGTGCTGTGCCCCCGTTACTATGAAGAAGACCAGGAGAAAGGTGAAACCTTTAGCTCCTAAGGTTGTCTTCAAGCAAGCACCCACAAATCCCAGAAACCCAAGGCCACGAAGGAATCAATTAAACAGTCCAGAATACGGGAATAGCCCTGAGAAGAAAGTTAAAAGGAAAAGAGACGAACCCGACGACTTGGCGGCGGCCTTTCCGGTAACGCTGCAATTCGCGGCCGGTGCGAGAAACCAACGCGACCACATTGTCTTGGGAAACCAGAGCGACCATTTCCGGTGGCAAGAAGAAGAAGGTGGGGGAGGGTGATTGAAGCGAGTGGATAGCATGATAGGGAGAGAAGCGGAAGGTGGCCCCCTTTAATAATGGGGAAGCGGTTAGGGAGGAGGCAAAAGATGAGGCTTTTCCGGAAAGAGGAAAGAAGCAGTTTAATTACCTAAGGGCCTGTTTGGTTTGAGGGGAGGGAGGGGAGGGAGAGGTAGGGGAGGGGAGGGGAGGTTTCATCCTCACCTTGTTTGGTTTGATTAAAAAAAGGGGAGGGGAGGGTATTTAATAATCCCTTGTTTGGTTCAAGGAGGGGAGGGGAGGGATAGTAATAATCAATTTACCATTTTACCCTTATATTAGTTTATGTTTTTTATTGATATATTATATAAATTAATTTACATCTTAATTTAAATTATATAATTTAATCAAAATTCAGTCTTATCATGTTAATATGTGTATTAAAAAATTGGTATAGTAATTTTTCATTCTAATTAATATAATAATATATTTAAAATAATCAAATTAACAAATTTTATATGCTCTAAGAAAAATGAAATTTTATTTTCTTTAGGCTATCTTTTTTTCCAGCTTTAAAATATTTAATAAATAATATATTTATAAAAAACAATTAATTTTATAATATTATAATTTTTTATTTAAATAATTTTTATTTTTAAATAATTTTTATAATATATTTTTAATTATAATAATGTATATATTTTTTATTTTTTTACTTAGGATAATATATTTTTTATTTGAAATAAATATTATAATAATATATTTTATGGGTAGATGTAGAATATTAAAAAAATCATAAGGGCATAATGGTCCAAAATTTTGACTCCCCTCCAAAAACCCCCAATTTGGAGGGGAGCCAAAATGGGGGGAGGAAGGGGAGGGGAGGGGACATTTTAGCTCCCCTCCCCTCCAAATTTTTAACCAAATGAGGGGAGGGGCTCCCCTCCCCTCCTCTCCCCTCCCCTCCAACCAAACACACCCTAAGTGACCCCCTTCTGTGGGATCCCTTTTCCTCCCGGCACTCGCACGCACACTCCTTTGACACGTGTTGATGACGTGTCACTCTCTTCCTATGTGGCTCTCAATTTTCCTACATATTCTTCCACCACTGTTAAGTTTAGGAGACTTTGTGATCAAACTTTAGAAATGTTAATCGTTTTAGGTAATTTCAACCGCAAATTTTTTTTAATAAAATTAAAATTACACTATAAAATGAGTTTTATATTTTGAATGGGAGGAACATTAGATTTTAGAAATGAAGTGATTATAATTGTGTTCTACTGCTTTTTAAATCATTCAATATAATATTTACAAATACAAAACATAAATAACAATATTATATATATATACACACTACTATAATCATATGTCAAGTTGGGTCCAGTTTATCATGAAGACAGTGAACTCTAGGGTTACGAACTAGTTAGATAAAAAAATATATATTTAACATGGTTTTGGGAGCAATTAACTTTTTATCTAAAATATATACTCTAAATAAAATTGAAGCAATTTTCTTTACTTCTGATTTTTAGCTTTTTTGCCCCAAGATTTCAACCTTTTGAATTTATTTTTCAATAAAAAATACAGATGGGTTTCTATTAACCCAATAAATAAACAAGTTCATGAGCCAAGTGGGTCGATTCGTTTGAGTTTCTCAAAATTCCATTCATGGGAAGCAATAATCTGTTGGGTTTTCCAGAACTTCATCCAAAGCAAAAGGTTCAAATTGAGTTTTGAAGATAAATAATTAAACATGCTATAAAAATCTTCTAAGTTCAGTCCAACAAAAATAAAACTGATGACTGGTAAACTACGGGGGGAGTAGCTCGTTATGTATTACATTACTTGTGCATGCTTTGCTTTGCTAGGTTATGAGTTACTCTCTACGTCTCTTTTTATAAGAAATATTTGACGAGATCTTAGTTAAGTTTAATTAAAAATAATAATTATGTATAAATTGTAAGTCTTTTCTACAGAATATCCTCGTTTATGGAGGGAGAACATAAGAGAATGAATAAAGAAATAAATAAATAATATTTCAGAAAATAAGATCATAAATATATTAAATATTAAAATAAATAATTAATACGGATAAAATAGAAAACTAACCATAAAAAATTGAGACATCTTGCAAGTATTTTTTTTTTAAAAAAAGATAGAGATGATAATTGTTTCTTATACTAAATGTGAATTGCTTCTTGGTTTGTTATATACTACCATCAGTCTTTAATATGCTAATTTTTAAAAAGTAAAAAAATTAGTTAAATTAGTTATTTGTAATAAATAAGTATTATTTTTTTCTAGAATACCCTTATTAATTATGGATATGAGTTAAAACTATCATTTGATGAAATATTTAACATGCGTAATTATTACAAAAACTACTCATTTGGTCCTTTATATAAGGTAGAGAGAAATTTTTTTTGTCTTATTTATAAATCACTTCATTAAAATTTTTTAGCGTGAATATACTATTTCATCCTTCATTTATTATAGTATAGATAATTATTCTTTTCTAAAGATATATATATTCAATACGGATAAAGTTAGAAAATGTTATGTTTTAATGGAGAGCTGATACATTTTAAGATCTTTTTCTTGGTTTGTATGAAATATATTGAAAGTTTCTTATAAAGGGGAAAGATAAGTACTTTGGAAGAAATAGATAAATATAAAAGATAAAGTGAATTAGATTTTTATATTTAAGACCAAATTGAAAATCAAACTAACTTTTATATTAGTGATAAGAATGACTAATAATAATAATATTAAAAAAAAAAGGTTACGAATTGCGTGGTTCGCATGGTGCATTCTGGCAAGGACATGATCCCTTTGTTCTTTTCTCTGGTCAAGTGATCCTGTTCTTTTCGCTGGTCAAAAAAAAAAAAAGGTGATCCTTTTCTTTTCTTGTACAATGACATCATACATGTGTATTCCTACTATTTATGGAATTTTAAAAATGAACTCTTTTATTTATAAATTTTGTTCTTTTTATTTATAAAAGTAGTTATATCTTATTTATTCAACGATCTTTAGCTATGATTATTTATTCTCATTATTTTTTATTCAATAATGCATGGCACAATATACGGTATGGGTATGGCTTGCTACGAATTTACTTTTTTTTTTTTTTTATAATTCAAGCACCTATTATGCCTTTTACAAAAGGTTGGAATTGACATCATGCCTGGGAAAAAAAGAAAAAAAACTACGCATTTGGTGCCACTGAGCTACCCGATCTTAATATGAATTTATTAAAAGAAAATACTCAAGTCAAGTTTTTTATATATTTATTATGTCAATTTTTTAATCACATAAATTCATTACATTCTATTTTTTCCTATGTGATTATAATTAAATAATAATGTAATTATTGTCCTTATTAAATCACATGTCCTGCTATAAAAAGTTATTGTATATATTGTGATATATGGATACGGGCAAGAGGCCTGACTATATCATTGTTTCTTTTTCAAAATAATTCATCAACAATATATATATAAATATCCATGACTAGTACCACTATGTTTCTTATTATAAGTCAATTGTATTCCAAACTCGCAAACCAAGAAATATATTAAATTAATCAGTTTTTTTTTTTCATATTTACCCTTATTAAAAATAGAGAGAGGGGAGAGGATAGATTGCATAGGAAATAAAAAGTTGAGAGAGAGATTAATTAATTTTTTATTAAATTAATAGGGGTAAAATTGAAAAAAGATCATTAATTATACTAAAAGTGACTTATATTTTGAAACGAACTTTTGGGGTACAAGTAACTTATAATAAGAAACAGAATGGTAGCTTTCATCAATAGCGTTAGGACTTAATTTATTGCTCAATAATAGCAAACATGGAAGACAAAGAATCAATCTTCTATAAATTTCTTAAATAGTGTTATTTTAAAATTTTTGGAACTGAAATTAATTCAAACAAAAAATAAAGTGATATTTTATTTTCTTCTTCTTCTTAATATTATCTTCATAATTTTCTACGATAATAAAAACTATATCCTTATTTCGCTTTCATGGCATCTCTTTCAGGGGACTTTAATGGATGGACCAGCCCATGAAAATATTGGAGGATGTGATGGCGTGTCAACATAATTTCCAAAATTCTCGTATCATTTGTTTTAAAAAAATAAACAGATGAGGAATAAAATAATTGCATGTTATTATCCACTTCCTTAATTAGTGCATGCAGTTTTATTTAATTATTTTTTATTCGTGTTTTAATGTGTAATTTTGTAAACAACATTACAACATTTGCACTACTCCTTTTGGAATATCGAATAAAGCAAAACCAAAACAATACCGTAAATAGAAAACATAAACAAACAGAAAAAGAAATTTCAGAATAAACTTTTTGGTAAATTATTCTCTTCGTCTCCATGGTTTCGAAAAAGTAATCATGTATAATTATATTTACTTTTAAATATTAGTATCTATAAACATTGATATATATATATATATATATTTCGTAGCTAGATTTATTTGACGTCACAATGGGGGGAAAAAAAGGCGGTGGCCGGGTGGGGCCGGCAACCGCGAAGCAGAGGCTCACCGACGGAAAACTACCGGACACTCAAAACTTGGAGAATATATTGAGAAGGGAAAACCACAATTTTTTTTTAAACAATTAATATTATTCAGGCATATATTCAAGTATCATTATATTAAGAAGGGAAAATGACATTTGTTTATTCAGAAAAATGACATCTGGCTTCTTTATAAGAGAATTATATATTAGGGCCATCGTGGGGAATGTGCGGAGATCAAGGACAAAAACAGCTTACCAAGATTTATTCGAAATTATTGAATTAGAAAAACGTAAATATAAATTCTCAAATTACATAAATTAAATCTAAGATTAGCTAAGACACTTATCAAGGTCAAAACTCTAATATAATTTCCCCAAAAATACTGAATTGGTTCGACTAATAAATATGAGTATAGCTTTCGTGCGTGATCTTTAAAAACATAACCAAA